TTCCTCAAAAAAAAAAAAAAAATTACCTTAACCTTTTTTCAGTTCTCCAGTTTGAAACACTGCAGAAAATGCTGCACTGTAGCTCTGCATTCTCACAATTTGATCTTCCCTTATGTATTTTGCTTATCAGTAAAATTAGTTAATGGCATCAATATTTATTATTCTCTTTGGCTGTCTGAGGAGAATGAGACAGCTGGATAGCTGGGACTTCTGAACAATTGTTTCAAGCTTTATGCATTTTGTGAACAAGGAACTCTATATGCTTTCATCTTGTTACATATTTTGGAGATTATCCTCACTTATGAGAGCAAGAGTCTTAAAATTGACACAAAGTTAAAAATGGCAGGCTTGTCCTTTTATGCTTTTAAATTCTGCTTCAGTGACCTGTTGTGAATTGGTATATCTTGAGTCAGGCTGATGGCATTTTGGGAGGCCATCCTTCTGTTTATTTTATGATACACTCTAATTTTGATAAATGTCTCAATAAACAGTATTTGTAGCAGTGTTGATTTTGCTCTTGCACTTTTCATGAATGCTTTTCCTGCCTTGGTGACATTGTTCTTTGTATGCTGAGCAAAGTGAAGGAAGAAGCAGAGAGCTGAAATTAGAGTATGGGTGACACCTGTGTCTGATGATAATGGGTGTTTCTTGATGAAGATGCATTTCCTTAAGGGAGTTCCTGTTGTGTCACCTGGAAGTAGGGAAAAAATCTCCTTGAAATACTGCTGCTAACATCCTCTACTGTGACTGCAGGAGGGAGTGCATAGGGGTGCAAGAAGCTCTGAAGATTGCATAAATGCCTTGGTGTGGACCTGGACAAATCACTTGCACATGAGTCCATGCTGTTGGCTGAAATGCAGAAGAATGGTAACAATACATTGTGAAGCTTAGTTAAGGCTGTTTTTTAGGAAGGTGCCAAGTTGCTGGTCCATCCTTGTGTCCCACTCTACTTGGTGGTCTTGATAAGAGTTCTGTCTTTTCTACAGTTTCCAGCAGAAGTGTTACACTTGAGGCAGTGTCTCAGATATGACTTCATTAATTGCAGGGAAGATGAAAAGGAAGTTTGCTTTTGGAGTGAAAGAAGGTGTTGAAAACTTTATTTTAATGGCTCTATCTGGAAATGTTTTGAAAACTCCCCACCTGTTGCCCCTTCCCCACCCTCAACAGTTACTTAACCTGTGGAAACAAATGGGAATCTTTTTAAGGTTTTCACCCAAGCATTTGGGTTTGCAATTCTTCGTATTTGTTGAAGGTGAACTATTGCTGAAATCTTATCCTCATCCACTTGTACCTAACTCCACAAAAGGGTTCTTTTTCTAACAAGTGGAATAAGCACTAAAGTGTGCATGGGTATTAGGAAAAACTCATTTGTGTTTTTAAAGCTGTCCTTTTGGTAGAAATAATGGTTCTTACAAAGGAAGGAAAGGCATCCTTGTCTCTTTCAGAGAAGCTGTTTTTCATCAGATTTAGCTATTTAAACCAGGAAGCAGTAGCACTCAGGAAACATTGATGTCATTGGTATTGAGGCTGTAAGGTGTTGAACTATCTCCAGACAGGCTTTACCTGGTGTTGTGATAGGGGAAAAAAAAAAAACAAACAAACAAACAAACAAAAAAAAACCCAAAAAAAAACCCAAAAAAAAACCTGTGGCTTAGTTTTGCTTTATTTAAAGCCTTTTAGGATATCTAAACTTTTGTGTAAACTTAATAGCTGTTGTGAAGGATTGGTGTAGACAGCGACTACCCAAATAGCAAGGAAGCTATTGCATTCATCTTACTGAGGTTCCTTTATTACAAGCCAGGGGCTAAAAGGTAGCATAGGGCTCATCTTGATTATGAGGTACTTCCAAGTGGTGTTTGTGAGGATGGGTTCCTAAATAAATATTTTAAAAAGCCCTTCAAAAGATTCTTTTTGTTTCAAACTTTTGTAAGAGGGATGCCTGGATAGGTCAAGCCAAATGATAGATAAAGCTCTGCTTTTAATTTCCCTCTTTTTTTTTTCCTGGAACCTATCTCAGTGAAGTGCCAGAAGTCTGGCTCTAACCTTTAAATTCAGCCAATAAGCTTTTGCTTCTTGAACTCCCCAAATAGATTTGATGTATAAAGAATTATGTTTCCAAAATTTCCATATTTGTATGTTAATTTCTCATTCCACTGAACCTTCTGGAAGCTTTTTTTGTTGGTTGGTCAAGCAGAGCAACCAGAAAATGACTGAAGAGTACTCAGACTGCTGCTGTCAAAATTCAAGGAGGAGATATAACTCCCTTTTTATGAGCTGTTTTTAACAAAAATGTTTCAGTTCACCATTGCAGTTTTAGTCAAGAATCCCCAAAACTATTCTTGATTCCTCTGTGAATTAGTAGAATTAGGCAAAATATCTTCCGGTATCTACAAAATATCTGAGTCTGGCCATAGTACTGGGAGGCAAATCCTGGAAGGTTCTGTTTCATATCTCAGCAACAAAAATGCAAAGAGGTTTGTTTTCTATCAGTACCGATGCAGCTACAGTCTAAGCTGATCTCAGCCTACCCTGTAAGGATCTCATCACCTCTTTCTTTCCTTTTGAGGTCATGAAACGCGTACGCACAGAACAGATTCAGATGGCAGTGTCCTGCTACCTCAAGCGCCGTCAGTATGTGGACTCAGAAGGTCCCCTAAAACAAGGGCTGAGGCTGTGTCAGACTGCTGAAGAGATGGCAGCTAATCTCACAGGTAATCCTATCGTATTTTCCATGACTACTTCTTGGCAGAGTTGTGAGCACGTGTGCTGGCAGCTATATGAATTTGTCTGTGCATGTGGACATTTCTCCTTTTGAAATGAAGAAAATTCTCACTGTTAAGTTTGTGTGAATTATGAACTTCTGAAGAATGAAAATGTGGGTGAAGTGTAACAAGATGACATTTGTAATCAGTGAAACATCAGGCTGAAATACCAGGCTGAGGGTAGTGGAAAATACATCTGGTTTATCCCAAATACATGAAGTCTGGTGAGTAGTGGTGCTTTGGAATGGAAGGGAGAAGAACCTAGATGAGAAAGGAAGTAGAAGCAGGAAATTCTGTTGTACCTTTGTACTTCAGCAGAGTTATATCATATGAATTTAAAGTGATAATGCTGTGTCTTTTTCTGACATAGTCAGCCTTGTAGTTATGAGGAGTCTGCTCTTGTCATTTGGGGAAAAAACCCAAAACCTTGAGTAGATGAAAAAAAGCATGCAGGGAGATAAAACTTTCTTCTCTTTCTTAAAGACACTTGAATCCTGCCACACAGCTTGCTTTCCAAATTTTGTCTGTGACAGTTGTCATTGTAAGTATTATTTTTGTTTCAACAAACTCTGCTGCTGCTTGAACACATAGAAGTATTGGAAGGATGAAAGCTATGTGGACTATACAGAGATTAAATTTACTTGTAAAAGTAAGAGAAAATACTGGGCTGATATTTTGGGTAAAAAAGCAAGGAGAAACTTTTTTTTCTCAATGAAACAGCTTAGATTATGGCAGTGTCTCAGACAAAGGGGAGTGATGGAGTTGCTTGTAATATGACTTAATTTGACAAAATATTAATAGCTAAATAACTGTGTTTGTGGCTAGATAAGGCTGGATGCAGGAACAGGTAACATACTCTAAAGGAATACCTTTAGAGTATTTTACCATAGTTAACCATCGAAAGATGAGTGACTTGTAGGTCAATGTCCAGGAAGACTCCCTCAGTGATCTGGAGGAAACTGGGCAATATTTCATTATTAAAATCATAGTACTTTTCATTTCCTTGCTTTTTTCAGCCTAACTATCAGAAGTTTATTGAAATCCCTGAAAAAGTACTGGGGAAGATGGAGAAAGGATGAAACCAAAGTAAACTGCAGAATTGTTTTTCAATGGGAGATTTTTTTGTGAGAAGTGGGTAGAAACATCTGTGTTAAAACATGCTCAGAATGTGATGCCAGCCATATGAGGAAGACACAGAAGTGTCTGAAATAATGAAGATGAACTGGATTACAAGCCCTTGCATGAGCATGTGGCCTCATGCAGAAAAAAAAATACTTCTATAAAGAGTTTGAATGAATGTGTTACATTTTGTATTTTCTACTGAACTTCCATGAAATATTACTAAATTTCATGTTAGTCTCTATCCTCTTGCCAGTGCATGGGTTTTGTGGATGGTAATTGAGAATTTAGTCATCAGTGTTCATTAGAAGGGAAAATGGGCTGCTCACGTATTCAACTGCTTACTACTTCTTGTCAGATGCGCTTGCAGTGAGCTGTCAGTAAGCATGCTGCAGTTTCATCAGTGATTGTTAGAAAAGTAAGCCCGAGCTTGTTACTTAATCTGACAACTGATGCTGAAAATACTTTCTGCTGCAGTCATCTTGGTTTTGTGAACTGAGTAAAAACTGAGCAGATTGTAAAGCTTGCAGCGCTTTATGTTTGGGAAATTAATCAAATGTGTTTTTCTGAAGATGTTTTTGCTTCTTCCTTAGCAAAGCTCACCTTGTTTTTTATGTTCAGCTTTCTTGTTTGACTTTTAAATTAACTAGCCTGTGTGAATGGGGGACTTGGAGGGGACCTCAGGAGATGATCTGGTCCAGCCTTTTCTGTGGGAGAGGGAGCCCAGATGAGATTATCTAGAATTCTATCCAATTATATCTGCAGTAAAATAGCACAGAGCTTCCTTGTGATTATCCCATATTTCTCTAAAAAACAAGGACAATGTGTGAGGACAGAGTGAGTGACCAAGGAAAGGTTCCTCTAATACTGCCCATAGCATTGTTAGCATATATGACTAGCTGAAATAATGTACCGTTATACATCATCACACTCATCTAAAATAGGAATCAGTTGCTGTTACACAACGTTTACAGTAGCCCCACATTTGTTAGCTGGAAGCAATTATGCTGGTAGCCAACACACGAGACCAGGAGGGTACTGTCCATATCCCTGAGTTAGGAGTGAGTTCCTTTGCATTTCCTATCAGGTTGCATAGCTGGCTGCACTTAATTGGCTGTGGAGGAGCAGATATTTCCAATTGATGTTCTTATGACCACTGGGGAATGTGGAAAAGAAACTGCTGGTAGGTTTATTAAAATATGAGAAAAATATAGCCAGTGTTTTATTTCTACCAGGTGGAAAATGTGCATGAAATTTTACTCTTGTTTTGGAATCAGTTGACTTCTTGATCCTTTTTGCAGTTCTCATTGGTTTAAAGTTTTCAGAAGGCAAAGAATTAGAATTTGTTAGAGCTGTCTGGTATGTAGAGTTCATTTACCATTTGCTGGATGGGAATGAGCTCTAGTATCATTACTGAAAAAATAGGCCATAATGGTTGCCCAGTCAGGCAACCTGTTTCAGGACAGGTAGACAAAGATGATACTCCACTTTCTGAATCATGATGTACACCTTAATTTTGGAACTAAGTTGCTTATGCAGAGGAAGTCGTGGCCTGGAGAAAATATCTCAAAGTTGATTGCATAGCATGAACAAGGTGGCAGGCCATTCCCATTCATGCAGACATGAGGCCACCAGATCTCTGTCAAGAGTTGACTCTTACATGTAATCCTGTGATAGCATAAGAGACAGGCCCTCATATTTCTGCATTTCTTGGCTTTTACAAAGAGTTGTATGGGTTGCGTTTGAAACGGTCACTAAGTATTGAGTTACTATGTGTACATACATGCAGTTTACTTTCTCATGCTGAAGATTGATTATATTCAATTTTACATCCAAATAGAAGAGCTTTTCACTTTAGATATTGAGTAGTACCAGTATGTGAATGTGAAGTTCTTACCATCTTTGAGTTTCCGAAGCAGCCAGGCTGTAGAAAGCTCCAGTGTAGCTGTGCAACTTTCAGCAAGTTATATTCATTTATATCTGAACTCATTTAAAAATGAGATGGTATCATATTGATGCTGGAATCTGGTTTTGTTTTGGTTTAGTTTTTTTTCCCCAAGAGAGGATGATGAGCTCAGCCCATCTCTCTATTTCAAGAGCTGAATTCACCTTGCCAAACATACCTCATGTATTTACCCAAACTGAAGGAAGGTAAACCTGTGTCTTACCAGAGAGAAAGAGAGAGAGGAGCGGGGGAAGAATAGTGACAGGCTGCCTGTGTACCATGTGCTGATCTCTTGCTAACTAGAGGCATTGAGATGAGCTGGAGACTGGCCTATCTCTCTTCAGCGTGTGAACATTTGATAGTGTTGTTTATAGACTTCCAGGGCTGTCAGACTTGTGCCTCTGTGCATGAGCCAAATGCTGGAACAAAACACCTCCCAATCAATCAGGAGTAGAAAGGCAGAGGATGGAAAGTGGTGCAGGGCAAGGAAGACTGAAATGAATTGAAGTGAAAGTAATAAAAATAAAGGGTTTGGAGGGAACGAGAGTTATGATTTGAAGAAAAAAAAAATCAGAAAGGAAAATAGTGAAACTCTTTGCCTTCTTGTGCTCTATTTAGAGCAGCAGAACTTGGGTTTCTAATCACTGGTATTTGCATGTGCTTGGGGTTTCTTGGTGCATGTCTATAAACTTGCACAAAGTCCCCTGTGAATTCCAGGCCATTAGCAGAACAGCAGAGGTTTGGTGCAAGAGAAGGAGAAGCCAATTCCCTTTCTAAACAGTTCAGAACCACTTTTTCGAGAGTCTGGTTCTGCAAAACAGTTTAGCACGGTCTGAGGAGACTGTAACAGCTGTGTTTGTGGTCAGTTGTCAGCTCCCCCTTAACCTAAAATTCTCAGGGAGGAGGGCACATTTTGGTAAAACATTACCAAGTGTTTACTTAGAGATTCAGTTTTCTCCACCACCTCTGTGAGACTTAATAAATTATAATGCTTTTAATTTGTTGTAAATTATAATGACTGGGATGAGAAATTTGAGAATCTGAAGTATTGTCACTTTAGACCTATTTATGATGGTTGCTGGGACTCACTGAAAAAGAAACTATACTTTGGAGCAAAGTTGTATGCTGCTTTTCTCATCTTTATTGAATGTAAAGTTGCAAAACCACAGTTGTAAAACTTATGAGGAGTCTGTAATGGTTGTTACACTGAATTTCTTGGGAATTTATGGTTGTATTTGAAAACCTGAAAATGTGTTCTGGGTGGAAGAGGTGAGTTGCTGAGATTTTTAGGGTGGGTTTTGGCTTTCAGTGTATTTTCTCCTTTATGCTCTGTCTAGGTGGTTAATGCCATGTTTAGATGTTTTGGACTATGTCATACTTGAATGGTTTGAAAGATGAAATGTCATATGAGTGGCTGCATACATTGGATTTTATGAGAAGCTTTGTTTTCAGACACACGTGTAAAAATCCTTAAATCCTTATGTATGTTTTGCTTTTTTTATTTCACAGTCCAATCTGAGTCTGGTTGTGCCAACGTCGTGTCTGCAGCTCCCTGCCTGGCGGAGCCACAGCAATATGAAGTACAGTTTGGAAGATTACGCAATTTTCTGACAGGTAAATTGAGAAGCATGGAAGAAAACTGACTTTTTTTGTCATTTTATTGAGTAAAGGGCAATACAGTAAAATTCAAAATCATATCTCTAATAATGTTTTGATTTCTAGTTTTGAGATTTCAACTAAAATAGAAGTATGTTTTCTTTTTTTGGTTGTTTTCTATGTGCTGAATAGCTTTGAGTTTTGTAGATGGCTGGCTTTTGCCTTTTCTTCTTCAAGCATTTGCCCTTTGTAGGTCTTCTAGGCAACACCATATTTACATAGGACAGGAAGGAAAATCAGTGTTTTTTGTGAAAGGCAAGTAACTGAGAAAAGACTGTAGCTCTCTGTTGCATCCTAGTTTAAGGTTTTATTTTTATCCGTAATTGGCTTGTTCTCATGATGGTCTGGATTTCCAAGGGAGAACGTGTTCCCATAAATTTAGGTGTACTGGCTTTGAGACTGGAGCAATACAGCAAGGTAAAATAGTTTGTACTCTGTACTGATGCAGAATACAAATAATGATTTAATTTTTATATAATTATTTTATAATTTTTTTAACAAGTACTCTTGGGAGTGTCCTTATTTCTTTTATAAGTCACTCACATAGGAAGAAGAAAGGAGATAGAATTTTTAAAGAATAGTACCAAGGAAAGTGAAGTTGTCACACACAATATTTGTCCAGTGTATGGATTTGGTCCCAGTGTGAATAACATCAGGATTATTATTTCTGATAGTTTTGGAAGGGAAAGGAGCAGGAAAGCAAAGGCAGCAAATAGTGAATTCTTGGCACCTTGTCATCTACAGCAGTCCAATACCTTTGCACTTCAGTATTTTAAGTAAATCCTTATGGTTTAATAAATTTTTAGAAGTACGATAGCTCTGTTCAGTGCTTGGTGAAGTGCTTGCTTAATGCTTGATGAAGTGCTAGGTTTTGGTGTTTGGGTTGACAGCTTTCATCATTTGCCTTGCAGCAGCTTGCCTGTTGTCCTTCCACTGAGCACCTCTGAGAAGAGGCTGGCTCCTTTTCCTGTGTAATGTCCCACTGAGTACTGAAGGCAAGCAATTGAATACCCCCTTATTCTTCTAGACAGACCAAGCTCCTGTAACCTCTTCATATGTTCCTAGGGAACATTTTCTTTGTTCCTGTTTCTGCCAGCTTCCCATCTCTTCCCTTTTTCCCCTACTGCAAAGAGAGGTCCTTCCCTTTGTTTCTTTTTTGGACTAGTGCACCTGGAGGAAAAAAGAAACTCGCTGACTGCTTAGAGCTTGTATTACATGCAGACCACTGTTTTCACGGATTTTGGCCCAGTTTCAGTGGGACATGAAGAAGAGTGATGCTCAAGTATGCAAATATGTATGCACACTGCATATACACTGCACACCATGCATACTCTGTAGCTACTCCTGTAGAAATGAGAGGCACAGTATGGACTAGAGAAAGTCTGGAAGAGTGTTGAACACAAAGGAAAAAATAACCTAATGAGAAGGGAGAAAAGAGAACATACATTGGTGAGTGGCAGGAGGGAAGAGCATGTTCAAAAGCAGCAATGCGTTTTGAGGATCAGCAAATGTTTGAGGATCAGCAGTGCCTGTTTGTTTTCCATTAATTTGGACCATTTGTTCCTGTGGTAGTAACTCATTGTGGCCCTGTTTGTTGCTATGGTGTTCGGCAGGCTCCACTCCTCCAGCTCCCTGCAGCTGGCAAGCAGCCCCAGAGAAGCTGGGGAAGGAGGGGTGGAGCTGTTGCGCAGATCAGCCTCTGCAAGGTACAGCACAGCCTAATCGGGGTTTGTTACACTGTGTACTAGGAATTACTGCTGCGATCTGCCTTGGCAGAGAGAGAAAAGCATGTACATGAGCAGGCACAAAAATAAAACAAGGGCACAGCATATTGCAGTACATTTTGGAAACTGTATCTTCCTGAAGACAAATCAGTTCCATCCAAAGCACCACACTTAGGTTTTACTGAAGCTGAGAAAAAAAAAGCTCAGGCCAGACAAGCTAGGTAAATAATTTTGGCTTAAACACTTAAAGTACTCTTTTAAATACAATTAATACATTTTTAAAGTTTATTTGTCACAATAAACAAAGGGTACAAAGATCATATTTTTTATTTTGAAATAAATGGGGGAAATTCAACTATCATGTATTTTATGAGGTGGTATATTATTAGTTGTCCCACACCTGAAAAGGGTTTTGAAATACCTGCATTTTGTTCTGACAAGGTATCTCACTGATGTGGCAATCTCTACTGTACCTCCTTTAGGTGACAGAAGAAGTTTGCTTAGATGTGCCAACAAACGTCTCTTTTTGCTTGCTTTCTGATGGCACTGTCAAGGCTTTCTCAGTAGTCATCCTCTTTTATTCCCAGTGGGAAGTGGTTTGAAAAGTCATTCAAAGTTTGTTGTTGTGTTCTTTATATAGATTCAGATTCTCAGCACAGCCATGAAGTGATGCCTCTTCTGTATCCCCTCTTCGTCTACCTCCATCTGAACATGGTCCAGAATGGCCTAAAAAGCACAGTGGACAGTTTTTACAGCCGCTTCCATGGCATGTTCTTGCAGAATGCCAGCCAGAAGGATATCATTGAACAGTTGCAGACTACCATGACTATTCAAGATATCCTGTCCAACTTGAAGCTCCGGGCCTTTCTGGACAACAAATATGTCATCCGCCTTCAAGAGGACAGCTACAACTACCTTCTTCGCTACCTCCAAAGTGACAACAACAACGCCCTGTGCAAAGTCTTGACCTTGCACATTCACTTGGATGTGCAGCCTGCCAAGAGGACTGACTACCAGCTCTATGCTGGTGGGAGCTCCTCACGCAACGAGAGCAACGGCCTGGAACCCAGTGATGTGCCAGCTTCCATTCTGCAGAATGAGGCAGCGCTGGATTTACTGCAGGACAGCATTAAACGTGTCAAGGATGGGCCCCCTTCCTTAACCACCATCTGTTTCTATGCCTTCTATAACACAGAGCAGTTGCTGAACACTGCAGAGATTTCACCAAATAGCAAGCTGCTTGCTGCTGGGTTTGATAATTCATGTGTGAAGCTGTGGAGCCTGCGCTCCAGGAAGTTGAAATCTGAGCCCCACCTTGTTGATGTATCCCGCATCCGTTTGGCTTGTGACATCCTAGATGAGGAGGTTTGGATACCCTTTTTTCCTCCCTTCTTCCCCTTCTGCTGATTTGCTTTGAATACGGATTGTTGAGTATGTAGTAATGTCTTAGGGAACTCTGAGACTGTTGCACAACCTGTCTGCCTTGATGCAGAGATTTTATAACCTACTGTCATCCTTGTTCTTCTCTGCAGTGGTTGTAAATGCTAAATTCAGGTGTAATCAGTCTGTGCTTAGGTCATAGTTTGTTAGTCCTGAGTGCTGGTCCCTCTCCTGCAGCTGTCTTTGAACAAATGACAGTAGAGAGGAAACCCAGAAAGGACAGGTGACTAGAGTAGGCTCTCTTCCCTGAGGAGCATGGAGCCTTCTTTGGCATGGGAAGATGAAACAAGGCGATACAGGCAATGAAAACACTGTGCCAAATGAAAACTAGAAGGGAAGTAGCTCGGAACAACCAGGCAAAAGGGTGGAGAGAAGAGCAGCTAAACAGGAAGAAGAAAATATAGACAAAGTAAGGAAAGTGCTAAAGAAGTCTGATCAGATGCCTATGTGCAAAGCTGTATTTTGGGTATCACCTTAATTTGCCAGAGGTCAAGGGTTATGGAAGAATTATGCAAAATGCTAAGGAATCTGAAGTGTTGAAACTTTTTAGAGGCCTCCTATTCTTCCTCAGAGTGCTAAAGACAAGGACAGGATGTGTGTACCTTTACTTCACATGCAAAGCTAGCTGGCATTTTCTGCTTGACTTTTTTCTGTTTCCCTTTCTAGTCACACTTTTCCTCTCCTCTCCACACAGCTGCCCAAGTAGCAACTTATATCTGGTTAGAGATCAAAATTTTGACTCTTCTGCTGTTTAATCACTCTTCTTCTAAAGAAAAAAAAGTAACTAATTTGTTCTTGTGTTGAGTGTTTATCAGGAGAGAGACAACCTTTTTTCCACTGTTTTTTCTTCTAAAAAATACTTAGTGGCAAAGTTCCATTTTATTTTGGAAGAGTGCTGAGAGCTTGGTGTATTTAGAGATCTCTGATTGGGGATTGGTTTGTTAAACAGCTTGAGAAAAGAGGCAGGCATCAAGGTGAGACAGCACAGCAGCATGTTCACTGCTTCCCAGGTTTGCCCTTTTTGCAGAGTGAGCAGGTAAGTGGGTCAGACTAGCCCAAAATAGAGCTATGACTTGTTTTCATTATAAACTGCAAGAGTTCATAGGGCATAGTGACTGTATATTGCCCATCATGGAAGCCAAATGTCAGCAACCTGCAACAGAGGAGGATTTGTCTGGTAAATCAGCAGGTCACCTTCTTTGGCTTGGACTGTGGAAAAATGAGATACTGCCAGGTTATCAGGAGTGTATTAGCTTTCTTTGGCATGTAGTCGTAGACTTGGCATTGTACACATTTTAGGAGTCTGCCATGGAATCCTGACTGCTCATGGTTTATGGTGGCTAGTTGATGTTTTGTGCACAGGTCTAAAGCCAAAAACTGGTCAAAAACCAGCACAGATCAAAGTCATCATTGCCCTGAATAATATCCACCACTGACAAAACAAACAGTGACCTGAGCAGGAGTTCAGAATTGAGGGAGGCTACCAATATCAGCCTGAGCACCTGATTACCAAATGCAAATGAAAGCCCCTAGACTACAAAGAGATGAATTCAGATATCTGGGAGCCCTAAGTGGACTGGCACAGGCACCCACAGCGTTGCAGGGGGGAACAGGCCAGCAATTGCCTTGATGCCATGCGAGAGGAAGCCAAATATACCGAGACCAAACCAGACTACCTTGACTGGGCTGCAGCTCAGTGTGAGCAGGGGCTGTATTTCAGATTGTCACTGCAGTGTGATCAGTGCAATTCACAGGGATGAAGCTGATACAGACTTTGACGAAGAACAAAAATTCTGAATCTGCTTTGACATTTTTTCTATGAGTCCTATAAAATAACTTATGAGAATGTTAAAATTTGTTTTGGTTGATTTCTGTATTGCATAATTAGCTTTGGATAATGTATTTAAATAGTAATGCATTAAATAAGTAGTCTTCAGCCTGGTCTTTTATTTTCTGCAAGGAAACAGATCTTTCCTTTTATGCAGTCACAAAGGTCTAAAATCAAGCTAGTTTCAGTGAATGTTGTTCAGGGTGGCACTAAAGCTACTCTGTTGGGTTTAATTCTTCTTGTGAAGGGGTCTGTGTATATATGTATGTAAAAGAGGTTGAAATTTAGCAAATGTGTTAGAACAACAGTTTTTTCCTAGTCCATGTGAAGTCTTTGTGTCACTGAGGTCAAAATAATTTTCTAGGTATAGTTTTACTAAATTTTGCTCAGTGTGGTGCTGCAGTGTACTTCACTAGTGTAGTCTTTCTTCTTGCAAATAAGAGAGACTTACTATTTTGGATACAGTAATTCTGTTTCCTGTATAGTAGCATCTCACAAATGCCACTTTATTGTCCCTCTTACTTTGAGTCCAGTATAAAAATGGAGTTTTGTAGCTGTACAAATGGAAGTATTGTTTTTGTCTTTGCAATTTTACCATGTTCATTGCTGGTACTCCATAAATCAACATCAGAAAATAATGCTCTGTTCCAAACCACAATAGTGCCAGCCTTTAAATCCTGTGAAGACTAAGACTTGACCCCATTTAGCTCTGCTTCTAAAGTTCTGCTTTTAAGTGGCAGTAGTCCTTCAGGTGATAATGAGTGGGAATGATGCTGACACCTTGCTTGATGGCAGATGGGAGGGAATTCTGGAAGGAGCAGTAAAGAATATCTTGCAAAGAGAGCTGTCCTTCCTTATCATTCCATGCTAGGGTATCTCTGCTGTAGACAGATAAGAGGTCTTCCCTTTTGACAACTTAAGAGCAGTGCAGGATGAGAGAGATTATGACACCCAGGAAAACCTGTTACTTGTTAGGGAAAAAAAAAAAAAAAAAAAAGGGAGGAATGTGAGTTTATGATTTGTTTCTCTTTGAGGCTATCATTGTTGCTTTTTGAGGCTTGGTGGCTGCACTTGCAGCTGCCTTGCTAATCTGGTCAGCAGACTAACTTGGATAGGGAGGAAACTGAAAAATGTGGCGACTCAGAAGCATTATAGATGTACTGTTTTCAGTGAGCTATGACAGGAGTGTGCAGTTGTGCTAAGTGGGTGTCCAACAAAAAGATAAGATTTGCTACCTGTGACCATATAGGAGTGTGGGTTTCAACGCTGCAGAAGGTGTTGTCAAATCTCCTGGTACTGTAATACAAGGAGGGAAGAGGAGGTGCTTGCAGACAGCCATGTAGCCTTGTATTTAAATGCACAAAATTAAGTACTTGGACTTGCAAAATTTGCAGAAACTAGTACAATTACAGGCAGCTTGAATGGGCTTCCACTGGTTAACTTGTCAGGAATCTTATGGTCATAATTAAATAGTATAAAATGCTGCCGGTATCAGCCATTCTCCTTTAATGTGGCAACACAGCCTAGAGATGCTGTGGATTCCAGTAGGAAAGCAATTTGAATAAGAATGGTCCTTTTGCATGGCAGATCCTGCAGTTTCTGTTTGCCTCACCTCCATAGCAGAGAGGAAGTTGGCTTCCAGCCACATTATAAAGCTCCCATGGGTGCTGACTATGAAGAGAAGCAGCATTGCTAAAGATGGCTTGCTGCCTACTATGTAACATGCCGTTGAGATGGAGAAAGGCAAGGAGATGGCTAAGTCAGAGTTTGCTCACCTCCAGCGTGAAATTTGAAACCACTGGAGGAGAAGCACTTTCTGGGTTATTGTTAAGTCTGAAGCCAAACTGTCTGTGGGTCCTGAGGTTGGAGGTGGGGGCATGGGAGGTGGAGAGCTGCTTACAACACACTGACTCCTGCTGCTCTGACTTCTGCTGGTTGTCAACAGTCCAGCAGCCCTGGGGAGTTTGGTTTCCTCTCAGGGCAGGAAGTGCTCCTTCTGCAGGAAATGGGCCAGTTCAAATGATAAATGATAAAGGGGCTGCTTACAAACAAAAGGATGTCATGTTGAATTTGATGTGCAGAGATTGTCTGTGAATGAGTGTCACTGATTCAGTACTGAGGAAAAGTGTCTTCCTGACAGTCCCGAGGAAGGCTGGTCTCAAGCTGCTACACAGGTGTACCCCAAGCAAGAGTTAGTTATCTTGCACTGTCAGTGAGACCCCAGTTTGTCAAGCAAGGACACTTCTGAGATCTGTTGAAACCTGTGTAGTCTGTAGCCTTAGAGCGTCAAGAGGTGGTACCTGAGTAGGCTTTTAGAGACTCAGGAAATCTCCATCAAGAGATTCCTTTATCTCAGTTTACTGAATTAGTCTTTAAAAACAAAAGCCTTTACTTGTTGACTATCTGCCCTGGTACTTGAATTGGATAATTACAGGATGCAAAGGTTTTCCAGTGCCATCATTTTTGTGATTGTTCATTGTCTCCTACACCAAAATAGATACATTGGCCTAAATAAGCTGCATACATTTGCTATTCTTGAAGGCTGTTCAGGAAGGGTGAGGATGTGAAAGCATCCTGATGGAGCTTAGAGGGAGAAATTTATGTTAGCCTTGCTGCATTTCTGTTCACATGCGGAATTGAGAAAGAATGTTAAGCAGACAGCTTGTCAAATATCCTTTGTCTTTCCATCTCCTGCCTTTCGTTTAAGACATCTGTGCTTGTTTCCCTCTACTGTGAGATTCACTTCCAACAATGACCACACAAAAAGAGTAGATGCCAAGATCTGCATTCAACATCTTAGCCAAGTATTTTTAGTAGACCGGAGAGAGACTATGCATATATTTTTAGCAAAAGGAAAAATATCATCAAATATTTATTCCCCTCTGTGCCTGCAGTCTCTGGTTAAGATGCCTTCTGGACTGAGCATAAGGGTACCAAAATTAAAGAGAATGCCTTTATAGAAAGTCTTATCTCACCATCTCTTTCAGTATTCACTTGTAGCAAATGTACCAGCAATGTTTGTGTCTCAGAGTTGCACAAACTGTGCCACATCTAAAGTAAATAAAGTAAATTATCTTAATTCCTTCTGTATTAACACCCTCCTGGTTTCCTCATGGAGGATTTTATATTTGTTGAATGGATAAACATGCTTTCCTTCCTTGTTCCTTTTTCTTCTTCTTGACCAGGAGGAAGAGGATGACAACGCAGGCACGGAAATGAAGATCCTGAGAGGACACTGTGGACCTGTGTATAGCACAAGGTTCCTTTCAGACAGTTCAGGACTCTTATCTTGTTCTGAGGACATGTCCATCAGGTACTGGGACCTCGGAAGCTTTACAAACACTGTGTTGTACCAAGGACATGCCTATCCTGTCTGGGATTTGGATATTAGCCCCTGCAGCCTGTACTTTGCCAGCGGTTCCCACGATCGCACTGCAAGGCTCTGGTCGTTTGATCGGACGTACCCACTGCGAATATACGCGGGCCATTTGGCGGACGTGGACTGCATCAAGTTCCACCCCAATTCCAACTACTTAGCAACGGGCTCCACGGACAAAACCGTGCGCCTGTGGAGCACTCAGCAGGGCAACTCAGTGCGGCTTTTCACCGGGCACCGGGGCCCTGTGCTGGCACTCGCGTTTTCCCCCAACGGTAAGTACCTGGCATCAGCAGGTGAAGACCAGCGGCTGAAGCTGTGGGACTTGGCATCAGGAACTCTTTACAAAGAACTGAGGGGGCACACAGACAACATAACCAGTCTTACTTTTAGCCCTGACAGTAGTTTAATTGCTTCAGCATCGATGGACAATTCAGTTCGGGTCTGGGACATTCGGAACACTTACTGCAACGCTCCTGCAGATGGGTCTTCCAGTGAACTGGTTGGTGTATATACCGGACAGATGAATAATGTACTGAGTGTACAGTTTATGGCCTGTAATCTTCTTCTAGTGACTGGAATTGCACAAGAAAATCAGGAACATTAATTTTGCTTTTTGTCTTAGGGAAGCGGGTGGGTGTCTTGTATACCAGAGTCCATTGCAAACTGAGCTTACTGACTGTGAAACACTTCTCTTCCTCTGCCCCCTTGAAGGGCCTGTTCAGAGTGATGCAAATGCTTTAAGACGTCGCAAAAATGCCTGTGCTATTGAACAGAATAACGAAAAAAAGGAGGATTGATGAAAATACGCATTCTAATTTTGTACTTTTAGGAATGGGGAAAAGGGGAGTAAATCCAGTAACTTGGGGAAACTGAAAGCCTGGCCCAGACAGGTGAAACTGCCAACCAGATAAGCTGGTGACCTGCACTTAAATATCATTCATTGATTGATGGGCACATCTTATCTACTGTTAATTTGGCTTGAGTGTGTGGAGAACTACTGGCCCAGTGGTTTTTGTTCTGTTTTGCTTTCCTGGTATTGCAGAGGACCAGCATTTTTAAGACCCTTCTATTAAAAGAACATTACGTATTTTCTACAGTGATAGTGGTCCTAAGTATTTCAGCTCCCTATAGCACTTCAGGAATATTTTGGACTAAAGTAGAAAATACCCTTGTTCTTTTTCAGTAAGGGCAAGGAAATCTGACCTCAGTTGGGGCCCATCTCTGCATTGTTCTTTGGATTTGGTTCCTGGTACTAGCTGTGATTATGTGTATTTATGTTCCATTAATTAGGAAATTTTCTGACTCTGGTTGCTCTGTGTTTTGAGGAAGGGAGGGCAGTGGGGACAGAGTGGTGGATTTAAGGATAACAAACAACTTGCCTTGTCTGGAGGGAGGGCACCATAGAACGGAAACAGCCAAGTTTGGACTCCTAATGGAAACAGGGCATGGCTACCCACCACTGCACCTCACAGAAAGATTTCCATAAATGGAAGTGGGCAGCTGGGGAGAGGAGGATGGGGAGAAACACACGAAGTGACATGGGAAAAAATAGTATTACTAAATTATTGTGTGTACACAGAGGCAGCTCTGCCAGTGTTGGATTTTTCTCAAATGTTGCAATACCAGTTTCATGAACATTTTGTGAGATAAATCATCAGCATTTACAAGGATCTGCAGAAAAAGCACGTTCTAGTTTGTCATTTGGAGAGATTAAATATTTCTGCTTTCTGGAAAGAGTTATTTTGTATTTTGTTTTCTATTAAAAGCATTTAGTTTAAAAAGAAAAATAAAAATTGTTTGGTCCCTTTCTGGGAAGTTTGCTCTGACTTGTATGAGAAGAAGAGGGCAGCAGCTTCCCTTACACTGCATGAGACAGACCTACTTGAAGGCTGAGTCTGGTGGCCTTGGTCACTTGGTGCTGTTTTGATGTCACCCTACTTGCTTGCCACAGAGCTGATGGGACACATCATGGAGTGGGATATCAATACTGACCTACTATTGTAGGTCAGCTGATATGTATGGGGAGGATCTAGGTACCCCCTGAGGTTAACACTGTGCACCAGAAGGCCTCATTCTGTAGCACTACATAACCTTTACTTTGTAGTTTGATCTGTCAAAATGCCTCTTTCAAGCAGATGTGTTCTGGACAGGCTGTGGGTATTAAATGATAATTCCCATCAGATTCCCTCAGCCCTTCCAGATTTTAATGATAAACAATTCACAGTTGCCTTTTTATTTTATTGTGTATTTACAAACCAAATTTTTACCAGAAAAGTGTTTGACCTTTCTGACATTAACACCAGCATGTGCTGTGGCTCAGTGCTGGGAGTAGCAGAAACCCCTCTGTACACCTGGAGTTGAATGGTACTGCTGATCCTCTGATGGCTGCATGTCAGAAGTGTGAAGCAGTTTAACAATCCCAGACCAGGATTGGGCGTGTTGAAGAAAAATGTATGGAAGATGGTTGTGTTGCTGATGCTTTGTGCTATGCAGGTCTTTAGAGAGACCTCCCTCAGCTCTGTTGAATCAATACCATTTTCCAGACTGAACACATGGTATTCTTCAACCTGCAGTAATCCCTCTAATTGCTTTGAGTGGTTTTGCTTGATGTTGTATAGTCTAGCATGAAGATTTTATTGTGAAGTGACTGTTTTGGCTGAATGTCTTTGTGAATACCCAGGAAGGATATGGCCCACCAGTGCTCACTGGAACTCATTTTGCTGTTCGTTGCCATATGTCCTGAGCAGTGTTTAGATTTAGAGCAGCTGGAGTTTTGGTCCTGAAGCAGAGCAAACAGCAACCAAAAGGGAAGGAGAGGAAGGGAGGGGGAAAGAGTAGGGGGCGGAAGTAAGAACAAGATGGGCTGAGAACAAAGTTTCCCATTAACATCTTACTTCTACAGTTCTACAGCAGAATTGGGCTTTTTATTACTTGGGTTGCTCTGAAGTATTGCATGTAGAAATGACAAGAGAAAAGAGACTTCAGAAGCAAATCCTGTATATGCACATAGGCTAAAAGATGTAAAAGTGATTCCTGAATTGTTGGAAAAACAGTCATTAATTATGTGCTTCAAACCTATAAACAACAATGTACTGTATGGAGAGTTTTTGGTGCTCTTTGACAGAAACTAGGAAATAATCTAGACTATAAAAGATGTCGGCAGTTGATTGACAGGCTGAATTTTAAGGCAGAATTGGGAGGAAAGTATGAATGGAAGGAAGGAATACCATAAAATCTAGCAAAATTTGGACTGTAGTCTCCATTAGCTATCTAGTTCAGAAATAAGTATACTTGCACGGTCTACTTTCTGTTTTAAATACGTACCAAAAACCACAAAAGCACTTAAGATGACAAATTTAAACACTGAAATGTTAAGAAACATCATAGCAGAATCTTGCAGTTTGTGTCCCCATGTGTAACTTAGTTCTCAGTTGGGTAACTGGGTTCTCCTTCTCCTGCAAAACTTTTTACTTCATGTGCCTCCTGGGTGATGCACAGGGTACAAGGCACTGCATGGTACCAGCAGTGGCTGTCAGGAGATGGTCAGAAAAAGAGGACAAATGGACAGCAGTCCTTTCCTGGTTTACACAATCCTGTCTTCTCACAGTTAGGTTTGCTGGGGTTTGGGGTTTGTTATAGTAGACCCCTGGCACTGCATGCTATGTAGCTGTTGATGCATTTAGTTTAATCTAAAATAGACTCATCTCTTTTATTAATCAGCTATAGCTTGTAGCTTCCACTGTTTGCTGCAGCAAGAAGTTTTATGAGGAGAGAAAAATATTTATTTGGTTTTGACATTTGCTATCTGATAATTTTGTTCTGTTCCTTAACCTCTTGAATTGAAAAAGACAACAAAGAGCAAAACCCCTTTCCAGGGTGTAAGGTAGTCCAGGCCACAGCAGGTATAGACAAAACTAAGGTAAAAGTCCATGCTTAGTCACTGAATACTGAGGAAAGGAAGGAGTATGTGCTCTAATAAATTGCTACACCCATTCACAGGTCTATACTAAAGTTGCCCTTCTCACTTTCAACACGGGCATCTCCCAGAGCAGTGTGCTGCCACCCTGTTCAGTCTAAATGTCGTAATTCCTGAAATTATAAAGTTCATCCTGTTCCTCCCCATTTTTGTGACATAGTGAAAAGATTGTCTCTTGAAAGCATTTTTAGGTCTGAAAACATTTTACAGAAATGTTATTTCCATTAACAGGTCCTTTGGGTTTGCCAAGAAAAACAAAAAGGACTTCAGGCCATGTTGCTAACCTTGTTTCAACACTTGCTGCCTTTTGTTAGACCTCTGGTCTTTGTGGGTTCTTCAAAAAAGTCCTGAAATGACCTTTCTTCTGAGCGGTGTCCAGTTGCTTACGGTGAGCCAGGCTCTAAAACTGTACCACTACAAGACACCGATGTGATGGTAAAATTAAGTGCCTGGATGTCCCTTGCCAAAGACTATCCTGGCACGTTGCACATCAGCTATGGTTTGTTTTTTTTTTTTTTTAAGTACTGGGTAGGAGCCCAAACTGACTGAAATAATAACGTTCGCTCTGCTCAGTGTGCTTCAAGAACAAAAAACTTTTCCTCTGGACTGGTAATTTTTTGTAACAATTTTAAACCTCTGTCTGGCTTTCTGCTTCATGGACACTACTATGCAACAGCACTGAGCAGCAGGTGAACAGAGAAGGTGATACATTCTAAGTGCACAGTTTAAGGCAAGGTGTTATCTACTGTGTGTTATCCTGAAGAAACAGTCTCTTGGGACAAGGAAGTTGTTGAACAAGAAAGCTGTAGAAGTTATTTCTATAACTTGCTATCACAAGCGTTACTCTTGCATTAAGCTGAGGGTTAGGGGAGGAAGGAGACAATTTCAGAAACCTGCTTTATCAGTAGCCCTGATTTTCTACCTCATCCAGGTCTTTGCAGTTCCTTTTTAGGATAGAATTGTCTTCTCTTTGCAAAGGTTTGTTATCTTCATTGAAGTTGTAGTATTCTGTTTATGACAAGCCTGATGACAACATTTTTGCATATACACATGGAGAATCAGCTAGCAGTCAGGCTTCATACTGTTTGGTGTTGTACAAGCATATCAGCACATGGGCAGTGCTCCTCTGACACTGCCTGAGAACAGGAGGAAGTAACTCCTAATCCTTCTACTGGGATGCCAAAGGAAGGATGTATGCTGGAATTACTATCCCAGCTCTGGAGAATGGGATGGGAGGCAGTTCAGGAGCTATGAGTGTCAGGGCACAACACCAGGATCATGATGGTATCCAGTTTTATTTCTCTGCTCTCACTCCTTTCCCCAGCAGAGTAGTGATGCTTCTGTTCACTTTGCAACACATCATGCATCAACACTCCAGCAGCCTCGGTAGGGCAGCAGTTGGGCTGGTCAGGGAGCTAATTGAAATTATCCCCCTGCATTCCTTGTAAATGGCCTGTAAATATCAAGCCTGGGGTTTGGGTTGGGGTGTTTCAAGTTTGTTGGGTTTTTTTGTTTGTTTGTTCAATTTTTATTTGCTTTTCTAAATTGTTTTGTTTGTTTTTCCTGTGGCTTAAAATTATTTAACAGAGGTAGGCTGTAGCAGACTGAAATGCCTGTTTCCATCTGAAAGAAACCTTTGATCTTTGGATATTCAGGGATATCTTGAACCCCCTGTCCCTAATTTGGAAGATACCAGATCAGACTCCATTTTTATACTTAGACAAGTGGGCTACCTAGACAGCAGTGAGTGCCATAGCTCTATTCGTAGATACAGCAATACTGAATACTGAAATATCCAAAGGCTGGATTGCACATGAATCTTGGGAAGTTCCTGGAAGTGATGAGGTAGGTAGGTGGACACTAAGGGCAGAAAGGCTGCTAGATAACAAACCACTCCTGCCAGAAGGTGCTTCTTGTTCTTTGGACAGCAGTGATACTACCTGTGCTCTCTGATGTCTGCCTTAGGCCAGCCCTGCGCCTGGCTTTGCAACAGCCACTGATGCTTTGTAGTTCATGGAGAGGGACAGGGCAAATAAAGGCAGAAGCTGCTGTGTGCTGCTGCAGTGATAAACTGGGGCCATGCTGTAAGACAACTCCAGACAAACTAGTGCCAGCTGCATGTGGAGAATGGCCATTTGTCTGGCATCCAGAAGAGCACAACAAAACCCATGTACTGACAAGTTGCCCTTTAGAACTAGCACAGATCCTTCTGGAGCTGCATGCACTTCAACACCAGGAATCTGCCAAGCCCTAAACATTCACTCCCAGGGACGGCAGTTGTGAGTACACATGTGACTTCGTAGTATTTTAGGTTAACACGTCACAACTTCAGCCCATTACTGGAGTTGAAGCAAGACATGTTTGCACAGCTTTTTTTTTTTTTTTTTTTTTTTTTTTTTTTTTTTTTTTTTTTTTTTTTTTTTTTTTTTTTTTTTTTTTTTTAAATTGGTGACGCTTAGCCAGAGACATGTGCAGGACTGCTGCTGCTTTTTGTCATTTTTGCTTAAGGCAATAGCAGAGCAATCTGCATGCGGTTAACAGACTGGAAAAGAATAGCCAGAATTTTATGCACTCTGTTCTGGCAACTCCACTCCACTAATGAAAATATTTCAGGACCATTTAGGATGACTGTGGAACCATCTGTGAATTTGGAGGTGGTTGTGTTATGATATACTATTTTTTAGCCCAGAAATAAAGCCTAAACCAAACTGGAGTGTAAAGCTGTGCTGCACCTAAACTTTCTGGTGTCTTTGCCAGG